AAGGAAGGAAGGAAGGAAGGAAGGAAGGAAGGAAGGAAGGAAGGAAGGAAGAGAAACATGTAAGTTATCCAAGAGTCCATTGCCTCAGTTTGCTTTTTTTAAAGTGAGGATGATAGTACCCTTTTCACAATATGACTGTGAAGAGCAGATGAATTTATATTGAAATATAGAATACTGTCTGGTACATAGAAGTGCTAACTAAGCTTTAGCTATTTGTCTTAGTCATTGTTCTATGGCTGAGAAGAGACACCATGACCAAGGCAACTCTTATAAAAAAAAGGTTTAACTGGAAGCCTGCTTACAGTTTGAGAGGTTAGGCCATTAGCATCATGGCTTGGACCATGGCTAGACACAGGCAGACATGGTGCTGGAGAAATAGCTAAGAGTTCTACATCCTGACAGACAGACTCTGGGCCTAGCTTAAGCTTTTGAAACCTCTAAGCCCACCACCATGACACACTTCCTCCAACAAAGCCATACCTCTTAATCCTTCTAAAGCTTTCAAAGAGTGCCAATCCCTGGTGATTAAACATCCAAATATATGAGCCTATGAGGACGGTTCTTATTTCCACCACACCACTGCCATTCTCAAACAAAAAAATGTTTATGCAGTCCTGGAATCCCAGACCTTGTGTATGCTAAGCAAATAAATACCATTGAGCCACAGCTCCATCCCAAGTCAAATAATAAAGGTAAACTCCTCTAAGCAGGCTGGGTGGCCCTAAAGTCCAACCCCCAATTCTAACAAAAGTGACCAAAATCTAGGCCAATTCTACCTCCAGATTTAGTTAGGAGGCCAGGACTCTAGGCTCTGCTCTGCTTCAAGCCAACTTGAACCCTGGGCCTTTGTAAGGGCAAATATTCAATCCCACAACAGGCTTTTGGTGAGTGCTTGTTGGCCTGTGCTAGGTACTTGTAGGGTGTGGAGGTACAGCAGTTCATGAGACACACTAAGGCCCTGGTTTCCTTGAATGTGGGATAGCAAATGAGTAGCTGAGCTTCAGACAACAAACACTGTAAAGACAACTAGGAAGGGTTACAGTGGCAGTGACAGGAACCTCTTTAAGCTGTGGTCAGGGAACTTCCCCTGAAGAGGATGACTGTGAGCTGAAGGATAAAGGGACCAGACATCCAAAACTCCAGAGGCACAGAGTTTCAAGCCAAAGGAATGTCTAGAGCAAAGACCCCAAAGTGGAAACGAGTTGCTCTGTCAGGAAGGTCAGGTGTGTGTGTGTGTGTGTGTGTGTGTGTGTGTGTGTGTGTGTGTGTGGTGTGGTGTGTTAACAGAGAGAGAGAAATGCGGCTCAGACTAACACCAGGACTCTGAGGAGTTCCCTGACTAAGAATCTCCATTCAAACAAAGCCCAATCCTTGATTACACCACAGAAAACAACTTCAAGTTACAGTGAAGCATTAGCCAAATTTAAAGTAGAGATAAGAGTGTATACATGCTTTAGATTTAAGAACCAGGGTTTACAAAGATACTTAGGAGAAACAGGGTACACATCCCCGAAGTATGTGCCTTGTGTATGGAAGTGAGGGAGGGAGGAAGGGAGGGAGAAAGAGACAGAGAGACAGAGGCATCTTTACAATGAATATATATACATATATGTGTGATTTAGTGATTTTTGAAGTTACATCATTCAAAATATAATTTAGAAAATTTGAAGATTAACAGTGTTTAAAAATAGGTTTACATTGGGTGGTGGCTGCACATGCCTTTAATCCCAGTATCCCTGAGGTGGATCTCTGCAAGTTTGAGGCCAGCCTGGTACAGCCAAAGGTACACAGAAAAACCCTGTCTCAAAAACAAAAATAAACAAAAAGTTTACAAAAGAAGCTGCTTTGCTTAGAAATTTCTATTGTAAATGAAAGTGTAAGGTAGTTTTATGGGGTCTATTGTTTACATTCAGGAATAAGGCAGCGGTTCTTTGTTTGCAGTATCTTTAGAGAGAGTACTGCTGTCTCCTATGCAGGCAGTTGTGGCGAAGTTTCTCGACTCTTACCCAGAAAGAAGCACAAGCTAGACCCCGAGGAGAGGTTCTTTTTCCTCTTCTCCAGCACCCATAGCTTCTTTTCTTTCTATCCTATTCAGAGGGACTGGAAAGTATGTGGAAAGAGGAGAGAGGTAGAGTGGAGAAGCAGCCAGTGACCAGATCATGTAGGACCCATAACCACAGTAAATTTGGATTTTGTTCCTGATATAATGAGAAGACGTTGGGGGCGTGGCTAAGTGGTGGAGTATTTACCCAGCATACATGAGTGTCTGGATTCCACATTTTTCTTTTAAATTTAAATCCAGAGAAAGAAAATTTTAAGCAGGATGTAACAATGTAGCAGGATTTTTTGGACCAACAGCCCCCAGATCATGACACAGAGACTTACTAGTTATGAATGCTCAGCCTTGGTTTAGGCTTGTCCCACTAGCTCTTATAACTTATGTTAATCTATTTCTCTTCATCTACATTTTACCTTGGCTTTTTATCTTTCATTCTGTATGTCCTACTTTCCTGCTTCCTCCAGGCTGTCTGTCTGTCTGGCCCCTTTCCTCTCTCTTTCTTTCTCTCTCATTCTTTCTCTAACCTAGATTCCTCCTCCTTATTCTCTCTGCCTGCCAGCCCTGCCCATCCCTCCTCTGTCTAACTATTGGCTGTCTAACTTTTTATTAGACCAATCAGATATGCCTTAGTCGGGGAAACAGCAACACATCTTTACATAAACAATTACTCTGCAACACAAACAAAAGCAATCCGTCTTTTTTTTGGGGGGGGGGGTTTTCAAGACAGTGTTTCTCTGTGGCTTTAGAGGCCATCCTGGCACTAGCTCTTGTAGACCAGGCTGATCTCAAACTCACAGAGATCCGCCTGCCTCTGCCTCCCTAGTGCTGGGATTAAAGGCGTGCGTCACCTGCCCAGCAACAATACGTCTTTATATAATTAAACAAATATTCTATTCCACACATAATGAGTCTTTCTCTGTCCCACCAACCAGCTCTCAAATAATGACACAGGGACTTATTACTAATTATGAAAGTTCAACCTATAGCTTAGGCTTGTTCCTAACTAGTTCTTATAACTTAAATTAACTCATTTATATTAATCTAATTTCTATCACATGACATTACCTCTCTTCCATCTTGTACCTCCTGTTTACTCTCCATGTCTCCTGTCCTCTCCCTTGTGCACCTAGCTTCTTCTCTCTCTGCCTGGAAGTCCCACCTATACCTCTGGCCTACCTATTGGCTGATCAGCTCTTTATTACACCAATCACAGCAATATACCTTCACACAATGTACAAATATCCCACAACATCAGGACAATGACAATTATATTTATATTTGAAAGATCCCCCCATCTGTGGTGTGGATAACACGCTATAGAGAAAGAAGGCAGAATTGAGTTTTGTGGCAAATGCCTATAATCCCAGAGCTGGGAAAACTAAAACAGGAAGGTGGATAGTAAATTCAAGGCTAACTGGGTCTCCAGAATGAGTTCTAGGCCAGACTACATGGGGAAATCTGTCTAAAAATAAATAAATAAGCCGGGCAGTGGTGGCGTACACCTTTAATCCCAGCACGGGAGGCAGAGGCAAGTGGATATCTGTGAATTAGAGGCCAGTCTGGTCTACAAAGCTACACAGAGAAACCCTGTCTGAAAAAACCGATAGATAGATAGATAGATAGATAGATAGACAGACAGACAGACAGACAGACAGACAGGCAGGCAGGCAGGCAGGCAGGCAGGCAGGCAGATGAGGGCTGGGTATGGTGTCACATGCTTTTAATCCCAGCATGCAGGAGACAAAGGCAGGCAGATGTCTGTGAATTGGATGCAGCAAGTTAGACTAGCCAGGGCTACATAGTGAGACCCTGTCAAAAGGCCAGGAAGGGGTGGGTAGTAAAATTGTGAGGCTAAAGTTATGTTTTAGTTTAATTACTGTGCTTAAGAGATCTCTAACCTGTAAGCCCCACTTGCCCAAGGACAGATTACTTCCTAGAAAGCTGGGTGCTGTTGTTCATGTAAGATAACAAGTCATGTGTTTTCACTCCAGCAAACAAGGTTGGTTGCCCCACCTGCACAGCATGTGTTTGTTCACATGTAGCCGGGAGGTACTTAGACAGGAAGTATGTCAGGATGTAGGCTTGCCCCCAATTGTAGGAAGGCAGGAAGTATGAAGCCTTGTGAGTTTTGCCTTTATGAGTACCTGACTAACCAAATTCAGTACCATTCTCCGGGAATCCTGGGTAGGACCTTGCCAGTGACTGTCATCCTGGCTGGTATTAAATAAAGCTTGCTTTAATTAGAAAATTGTGAATTTGGTCTTTTTCCTTGCAGTTTTCAGGTTTCACAATGGGAGGGAAGTGGGAACCCAACTGGGGGCTGTATCAGCTTCCTATTGCTTCCTAATGAGACACCACAAGCCTAGCTTCATACAAAATACATTTACTCTTTTACATCTGGGGCTGGAGAGATGGTTCAGTGATTGAGAACACTTGTTGCTCTTGCAGAGGATATGGGCTCATGTCCCCGCACCCACATGGTGGC